TTTATCACCGCCAAACCAGCATTGCAGGAAATGTTAAAGGGACTGCTATAATAATAAGAAGAAATAAAAAGAGAAAAATAGGCACAAAGAATTAAAATGGCAAAAGATAAGTATCTATCAATAATAACCTTAAATGTAAATAGATTAAATGTTCCAATAAAAAGACAGAGGGTGGCTGAGTGGGTAAGAAAATATGACCAAAATATATGCAGTCTACAAGAGACCCACCTCAGAACAAAAGACTCATACAGGATGAGAGTGAAAGGATGGAAAAAAATAGTCCATGAAAAAAAAACTTGAGCAGCAATACTCATATGTGACAAAATAAACTTCAAAATGAAGACCATAATGAGAGATAAGAAAGGTCACTATATAATACTAAAGGGATCAATCCAAGAAGAGGATATAGCCCTGATAAGTATATATGCACCGAACATAGGAGTACCTACATGTATTTTTTTTTTTAAATTCCAGATAACTTTAAGGGAGAGATCGACAGTAATACAATCTTACTAGGGGATTTTAACACCTTGCTGACTTCACTGGATAGGTCTTCCTGACAAAAAATCAACATGGAAACAGTGACCCTAAATGACACACTAGATCAGAGGGATTTAATTGATATTTACAGAACATTCGACCCCAAAGTGGCAGAATATACATTCTTCTCAAGTGCACATGGGACATTCTCAAAATTGACCAGATGTTAGGATACAAAACAGGTCTCTACAAGTTCCAGAAGACTGAAATCATATCAAACATCTTGGACCACAGTGGCATGAAATTAGAAATCAACTACAATAAAACCACTGAAAAACATTCAAACATATGGAGGCTTAATAGCATGTTATGAAGCAATGAACGGGTTACCAAAGAGATCAAGGAAGAAATCAAAAACTTCCTGGAAACAAATGAAAATGAACACACAACAACCTCAGATCTGTGGGACACAATGAAAGCAGTCCTGAGAGGGAAGCTCATAGAGACTAAAAATAATAATAATAAAAAATTTAAAAAAATCAATGAAACCAAGAGCTGCTTCTTTGAAAAGATAAACAAGATTGATGAACATTTAGCCAGACTCATGAAGAAAGAAAGAGAGGACCCAAATAAATAACATTAGAAATGAAAGAGGTGAAGTAACAATTGACCCAATATAAATACAACGGATTGTAAGAAAATACTATGAACAACTATACACCACCAAGCTGGAAAGCCTGGATGAAATGGACAAATTCCTTGGAAAATACAAACTTCCAAACCTCAATCCAGAAGAGTTAGAAAATCTGAAGAGGCTGATAACTGCTGATGAAGTTGAAGCAGTAATCAAAGGGCTCCCAGCACACAAAAGCCCTGATCCAGATGGCTTCACGGGGGAGTTTTACCAAATATTCAAAGAAGAACTAACACCTATCATCCTCAAACTATTCCAAAGTGTTCAAGAGGAAGGAACACTACCAACCTCTTTTTACAAGGCCAGCATTAGCCTGATTCCAAAACCAGATAAAGACACTACAAAGAAAGAGAATTGCAGGCCAATATCCCTGATGAACATAAATGCTAAAATACTCTACAAAATATTAGCAAATCGGATCCAGCAATATATTAATAAGATCATACACTGTGACGAAGTGGGATTTATTCCAGGGATGCAAGGATGGTACAATATTCGCAAATCAATAAAAGTAATACATCACATAAACAAACTGAAAGACAAAAACCACATGATCATATCAATAGGTGCATAAAAAGCATTTGATAAAATCCAACACTCATTTTTGATAAAAAACTCTCAGCAAAGTGGGAATAGAGGTATCATACCTCAACCTAATAAAGGCCATATATGACAAACCTACAGCCAACATCATATCCAATGGGCAAAAACTAAAACCATTTCCCCTAGGAATAGGAACAAGACGAGGGTGCCCACTCTCACCACTCTTATTCAACTTAGTACTGGAAGTACTAGCCACAGCGATCAGACAAGAAGAAAACATAAAAGGCATCCAAATTGGAAAAGAGGAAGTAAAACTGTCATTATTTGTAGATGACATGATATTGTGCATAGAAAATCCCAAAGACTCCACCAAAAAACTCCTAGATTTAATAAATGAATTCGGCAAGTGCAGTAACATACAAAATTAACACCTAGAAATCAACTGCATTTTTTTTTTCTTTTTTAAGAATATATCTTTATTGATTTCAGAGAGAGGAAAGGAGATGGAGAGAGAGAGATAGAAACATCAATGATGAGAGTCATTGATCAGCTGCAGCCTGCAACTCGGGCATGTGCCCTGACCGGGAATCAAACCCCCATCACCTGGATCCTGGGTTGACGCTCAACTGCTGAGCCATGCCCAGCTGGGCTCAACTGCATTTTTATACACCAATAATGTACTCTCTGAAAGAGAAACTAAAAGAACAATCCCATTTACCATTGCAACAAAAAAATTAAGATACTTAGGAATAAACTTAACCAAGGTGGTAAAAGACCTGTGCTTGGAAAACTGCAGGATGTTGCAAAAAGAGATAGAGGAAGATACAAACAAGTGGAATAATATACCATGTTCATGGATTAGAAGAATTAAAGTCATTAAGATGTTTATACTACCCAAAGCAATCTATAAATTCAATGCAATACCTATTAAAGTACCAACAGCATATTTCACAGATCTAGAACAAACACTTTGAAAATTTATATGAAACCAAAAAAGACCCTGAATAGCCACGGCAATCCTGAGAAAGAAGAACAAAGGTGGAGAGATCACGATACCAGGTATCAAGTTATACTACAAAGCCACTGTAATCCAACCAGCCTGGTACTGGCACAAGAACAGGCATATAGATCAGTGGAACAAAACAGAGACCCCAGAAATCTACTCAAGCCATTAGGCTCAATTAATATTTGACAAAAAAGCAAGAACATATAATGGAGTAAACACAGTCTCTTCAATAAATGGTGTTGGGAAAATTGGACAGGTACATGCAAAAAAATGAAAATAGACCACCAACTTACACCATACACATAAATAAACTCAAAATGGATAAAAGACTTAAATGTAAGACATGAAACCATAAAAATCCTAGAAGAAAACATAGGCAGCAAAATCTCAGACATTTCTCATAGCAATATGTTCGCCAATACATCTCCTAGGGCAAGAGAAACAAAGGAGAAAATAAACAAATGGGACTGAATCAAAATAAAAAGCTTCTGCACAGCAAGAAAAAATCATCAACAAAATGAAAAGGGAGCCCACTGTATGGGAGGACATATTTGCCAATGACACATCTGATAAAGGGTTAATATCTTAAATATATAAGGAATTCATACAACTTAACAAAAGGAAGACAAACAATCCAGTTAAAAAATGGGCAGAAGACCTAAATAAACATTTCTTCAAAGAGGGCATACCAGTGGCCAAGAGACGTGTGAAAAAATGCTCAAAGTCACTAATCATCAGAGAGATGCATATTAAAACCTCAATGAGGTATCACTTCACACCTGTCAGAATGGCTCCATCAACAAATCATTGAACAAGTGCTGGTGAGGGTGTGGAGAAAGGGGAACCCTAGTACACTGCTGGTGGGAATGCAGACTGGTGCAGCCACTATGGAAAACAGTATAGAGGTTCCCCCCAAAATTAAAAATTGAACAGCCATTTGACCCAGTGATCCCACTTCTAGGAATATATCCTAAGAAACCCTAAAGGCCAATCAGAAAGAACTTATACACCCCTATTTTCATAGCAGCACAATTTACAGTAGCTAAGATCTGGAAACAGGCCAAGTGCTCATCAGTAGATGAGTAGACAAAAAACTGTGGTACATTTACACCATGGAATACTATGCAGCTGTAAAAAAGAAGGATCTCGTATCCTTTGGAACAGCATGGAGGGACCTGGAGAGTGTTATGCTAAGTAAAATAAGACAGGCAGAGAAAAACAAGTACCCCATGATCTCACTCAGATGTGGAATTTAATAAACAAAATAAACTGATGAACAAAATAGATCCAGAGACATAGAAACATGGAGCAGACTGAGGGATCTCAGAGGGAAGGTGGGGGTTGGAAGGGCGTGTGGGAGAAAAAAAAAGAAACAACCTATTAGTCAAAATTGACTGAGTTTTGTTGTCATTAATAAAAAATGACACACACACACCCCCAAAAAAGAAAGAAACAGACAAAAGTAAAAGATATGTAAACTCTTCAAAGTTTTAATTTGAGGCAGCAGAGTTAGGTCCGAGCATCCTGTTGACTCAGTGGCACCTGGTCCCATGGGATCCCGTGAGGAGCTTCCAGGGACAACTATGTCGGCTTCCCCCACCAACACTTTTCCAATGTGTGAAAACAGGCCTCTCTTACCACATCTCCCAGAATTTAGTGAGAAAGGGTCCCACTCGTAAACAAGCTTTTGTTCTACTCCCAGTTTAGGCTAGGCTTTACACTTGATCTGGAAATTCGTTGACCATGTTCCCATTCCTGCCTTAAAAGCTCTCCCTGAATGGTGGGCATGCCTAATGGATTGTTTGGGCTGTATCAACAGTCACATGAAGTCCAGAACTTGGTGATCCCATTGAGAGTCAAAGAGCTTCCTAAAACCCGGGGTGAACACAAAGCCTCAATATTAGAGCATGTGAACGGGACTTTCAAATATAACGCTTCCATCTAAAAGCAAATATAACTGAGTGACAGAATCTATATAGGTAGTAGCCTAGAATACAAATGACTGAAGAGAGGTTCTGGCCTGAACCTCTGAGTTTTGGGAAAACATGGGCTCATTATAAAAAATTTCTCCTGGAAAAACTCAACTGGGGAGTATTATCTTTAGTAGGCAAACTGGCTATAAATGGTAGTGATTGCGTATGAAGGCAGAGTCTGCTACTCTCACACCGATCAGAGCCGTGGACTGCGGCACCAGCCTCTCCCGGCCAGGCCCTCAGAGGCGCCATCGATACAGGAACCCACGGAGACAGCACTCCGCCCTTGGCTTTCTTCACTCACCTCAGGAAATTTCTTTTTCTGCACATACTCCGTGGTGGCAGCATCAAAATACTTGGCATAGCCCTCATTGAGGCTGTAAATCTTCCCTTTCTTTTTAATTTTGACCTCTTTTTCCACCAGAACAAATTCGCCAAGAGCCTAGAAAGTTGAAGAAAAATACCGCTAAGAAGAGAGATACCAGGGAACATGCCAAGAGCACACTCCCCGACAATCAGAAGAAGATTAGACAATCAGAGAACATTGGAAGGCGTGGGCCTCCTGGAAGGGCCCGGGGTTGCCAAGTCCTTGGGAAGCCTGCCCGGTGATATTTTCATGAGTTGTGTAAACACTGACAGTACTGAGCCTGCACAGGAGGCGTGAGCAGTAATATAACAGGAGATAAAATAATTCTGAGGGTAGTTTCCTTTGTAACTTTCACTGTCAGCCAGACTACTCATTTATAAGGAACCTAGCTGCATTTATCCCCCGAGTCATCACCCTCAGTTCATTCCTAGTGTTTTCAGGAAGACCTGGGCCATTAACGACGAGAAGAACGCGTTACACAAAAGAGGTGGGGAATGCTGTTCAACCACTAATTTGTGGTCCAGTTATTTTATCTTAATGATTCAGTCTTGGAAACCATTAAAAGTTCCTGTTATCCCAGTAACTCTTACATGGGGTAAAGGGGAACTCCAATCAGAAACTGTATGCAGTTGGCATAAGGAATAGTTGATAAAAATTAAAGACATCCTCAGAATTATTAATAACATCGTGCCCAGTCCCCTTACAGCCACTGTGATCACTATCTGGAGGACACCTTCAGGTATCCTGGGTGCTGCTGATATCAGTTCCTGTGGATGTGATTAGCCATTGGCCAGCTGCACATTTCACCTTGAAAGGCTGGAAAGTAGCCCTAAGTCACTGGAAGGGAAATCAGAGCCCGGAAATGTAATCAGTTTTGATAAACCACAAGATGACAGCTCACAGCTGGCAACTAGACTAGAAACTTCCTAGAATATAAAGAGGCAAGGCCATGCTGATCACGCATGAAATAAGACAGTGACAAGGCTACTCAGCTACTGAGGAATGCCATGATAACTGCTTCTCTACCAGCGATTCCTCCCTCACTTTAATCTTCCCACCTCCTGGATAAAAAGTATTGAGATATATAATCATTAATTGTACCCTTTTCCAGCCTACACCCAATCTAGAACTAACTTTCTCAACTCCTCAGAATCATCAAGCAAAGTAAGTGCTGTAAAGTTCAACTCCCTCTTAGCACAACCACCCACGGCTCCTCCACAACCCACTCTCTGTCGCTCAATACATCTAACTTATTTCTATTACAGGTATGTTCTTGATGGACTCTGGGTCATGAGCTTTAATATCCTGCTGAGGACATTTTTTGCTTTGGAGCAGCCTAGCATGGGGTCCCACTTCCTAAAAGCACCCTAACTTCCTTTGGGGAATTAACTCTTCTCTTTGGATGCCAGTCTAGGGAGACTCTAGCCCAAGGTCAGGCACTTGACTTAGTGTGGCACAGTACTCCTCCCTGGCATTTGAATGAGACAGAATCAGCGATGGTGTCCAGGCCAGACTTGCTGTGCTGCCGGACCATTCCTGTGATTCCTGTTTCCTGGTCCTCTAGGCCTGCCCGTTTCTAGCCTGGGTCTTCAGCTTCCCGTGAATGCAGTAGCACCCTTTACTTAAGTGAGCCAGAATCCTTTTCTCTCTTGCTTATCAGGAAAGAACAAGACATATGCACAACTGCTGCATAGCTAATACCATTCACTTGTTTATCTTTCCCTGAACCTGGGGCGGGGGGGGGGGCTACTCAGACCCATAGAGAGTTGTTCCCTCTTGGGAGATGGAGATGGTTGTGGAGCCTTACCCTAACCTGGAAAATATATTCCTTTGTTTTGACTCTGTGATCACTAACAACCACTGATTATTGAAAAGCTTCCCACGGGCCTGGTCAGTGTGGCTCAGTGGTGAGAATGTCCGCCTGAGCACCAAAGGGTCGAGGGTTAGATTCCCGGTCAAGGGCACTTACCTGAGTTGCAGGCTCATCCCCGGACCTGCTCTGGGAGCATTTGGGAGGCAACCAACCCATGTGTCTCTCTCACATCAATGTTTCTTTCTCCCTCTGTCTCTCTCTCTCCCTCTCTCTCCCTCTCTCACTCTCTCTCTCTCTCTCCCTCCCACTCATTCTGAAAAGCAATGGAAAAATATCCTCTGGTGAGGATTAAAAAAATAAATAAAAAATAAAACGCAATGGAAAAAATATCAGTGAGGATTAACAACAACAACAAAAAAAATCAAAAAGCTACCCACGGCTTTGAGGAGAAGGTACCTCATCATTAGGCACTGTATCTTTGTCACTCAGAAACAACACAGGCCATTTGTAAACGATGCCTCGACACTGTGGCTTATACCACAGCTGAGAGTTCGGTTAGCACGAGGTGGTCCCTCTGTGCCTGCACACAAAGTGTTCTTAACAAAATCAAGTCATCAGCCCTGCAAACTCACAGATCAGACAGGCTCTGGTTGACCCACCAAGGAAGTCTGTCCTCTGAGTCCCTGCCCAAGTAACCCACTGGCCACTCGCCATGAGTTTTCTATCTGTTTCAACTGCCATAAACTACTTCAACTTGAAGTCAGCCTCCCAAACAAGCCCTAAGCTTCCCACACGGAGTCTTTGCTCAAATGTCCTTTACAGTAGGGTGTTGTGATCCAAAGGGATTTCAGGCTAATAAAGAAGGATTGGCAGAGATTATACAGTGATTTGTCTCTTTTTTCTGATGTGCAATCGAACTCTCAGGCCTACGTAAGTCCAGACCAAGTCCCCTGTCATGACTGAAGATGGAAAACATCGGCTGTGTCTCTAGAATCCTTAAGTTGTGCCCCTAAGCCAAATGCATCTACCTATTGCCTTTAGAAACACTGAGGAATGTTCTTGGATATATTTTGCTTGCAATCAAGAGCAATTTACTCAAAATTGATATAGTAGTTAAGCACAAGACTGCCTGTAAATAGGTGTTCTGGGACCAATTCTAACGTGTGTGTGTGTCTCAGACACACCAGCAGGTGTATGACAATTCAGGTTGATTCAACTCAACTCTGGCACTACCCGGAGATAGCATCGGATTCCAGGGCCTAAGGGTTCAGTCCTACAAGACGGCTTCCACCCTCCACCCATGCTCCTGACTGACCGGCTATAGTCAGAGGTTTATAGAAGACCCAGTACCTCCTCTTCAGGTTTGATTAATTTGCTAGTGTGGTTCAGAACTCAGACAAATATTTTATTTACTAGATTACCAATTTATTATAAAAGAATATAACTCATGGACAGCCAAATGGAAGAGATACATAGGGCAAGGAATGAGCAAACGGCAGACCTCTCCAGGCATACTACTATCCCCAATCACCGTGTGTTCACCAACTGGAAAGGTCTCTGAACACCATTTTGGGGGGGTTTTATGGAGGCTTCATTACATAAGCATGATTGATTAAATCGCTGGCCATTGGTGACTGGGTCAGCCGTCAGCTCCTCTCCCCTCCCTGGAGATCAGAGGGTGGGAATGAGAGTTCCAACCCTGTAATCACATGGTTGGCTCCATTGGTAACAAGCCCCCAGCCTCTCTCTGAAAGTCACCTCAATAACATAAGACACCCTTATCATTCTTAATACTTAGGACATTTCAAGAGTTTTGAGAGCTGTGAGCCAGGAACCTCGGATAAAAATCAAATGTATAGGAGGAATATATTTTGGTCACATGAATGACCAAATATATACTTTTCTTAGAAGTCACAATATTGCAGCCTGTGTGACTCCTGGCTCCGGAGCTACTAGTGTGACCTTGGGCAAGTTATTTACCTTCTTTGTGCCTCACTTTCCTCATCTGAAAATGGGAAAAATAGTAGGACCTACCTTAGAGGGCTGCTGTGAGGTTTAAATGCACTCACACATGTAAATTGCTTGGAACAGATACCTACTGCCCACTTAATAAGCTCTGTATAACTGTTAGCCATTACTCCAGAACAATTTTAGAAAGGTCGTTGTATGGTCTGAGGGTAGTGTTTGTGAACTTCAGAATTTCTCCAGTTTCACCTGCGTCTTTGAAAATAAGGAGAATTCAGGGTATCAGTAAACTGAAACATCAGTGGGTTTTAATCTGATGAGTTTAAATGTGAAAAGTTTGTGTTTGAAAAGATACTGGATTTTCCTATTATAAAGTTTGGCTTAACTGTTTTGAAATTTTATAGCCCCCTTCCTTCCACACACAGCACCAACATGTAAACCCCACCAGGGTTGGAATATCTGTCGGCTTGATCAGTGCTGGTCTCCCCCGAGAACAGTGCTGTGGGACCTACTAGATGCTTAATAAGCATCTGTAAGTTCAAATGAAATTGAAACACTGAACAAGTGCTTTTTACTTACTGAGTACTAGAAACTTTGAAATGACCTTCTGTCAAAATAATTTGAATTTTCACAAGACCTGACTATATTTGGCAAAGTAGCTCACAAGTGATGGACAGAGCATCCAGCATTTTAAAGAGAAATTCTCCAAGTTACAAATATTTTCCAAAATTTCTGCTGAACATTTTTACTGTACTTGCCATGAAAGCTTAGCCCTATTTGTTGAGCTCTGGTGGTTTTATTGGATTCTTTCTTCCTTTAGGCAGCACCAGGCTCATCTACCCTGGGGCTGTGCTCCTTCCCTCCTGCTGCTCACGGTGAGAAACGGAGCGTAACCCAGAACCCGGCAGAGCCACTTCCCACCGCTCTCGCCTCCTATTGGAAGAACGTGTAGATTAAGGGCGTCCTCCCAACCCATGGTGTCGCTGTCTTAGGGTAGCCACTAGTCACATGTGCTGTCTAAGTTAATTAAAATGAAGTAGCATTTTAAACCCGGCTCCTCTGGCACACTGGCCTCACTGCAGTGCTCAACAGTCCCATGAGGCGATGGCTATCGTATTAGACAGCGCAGGCCCCCAAACATCTCCATTGCCACAGGAGGTTCTGTTGGATGGCGCTGCATAAAGAATTCATGTTTCTGCCTGGAAATCTGCAGCAATGATCATAAATCATTGTATTCCCATAAACCAAAGAGGAATGAACTCTAAGGGCAGGGCCTAAGAGGAGAGGACCGAGCCTGCAGAACCCCTCAAATTCCCTCACTTGGACAAAGGTCCTTAATGTTTCTTGATGATGCTGTTGGCTCCTTAGACTAGACTCTCTGGCCCCAGGAGCAAGTATTAAGAATGACCAGGGCCCTGGCCGGGTGGCTTAGTTGGTTAGAGCATCGTCCTAATACACCAAGGTTGTGGGTTCAATCCCTGGTCAGGGCACATACAAGAATCAACCAATGGCCCTGGCAGGTGTTGCTCAGTGGTTAGAGCACTGGCCTATGCACCAAAGGGTTGTGGGTTTGATTCCCAGTCAAGGGCATGTACCTGGGTTCCAGGTTCGATTCCCAGCCCTGGTCAGGGCGTGTGTGGGAGGCAACCTATCGATGTATGTCTCTTTTTTTCTCTCTGTCCCCCTCACATTCTCTCTAGAAACCAATGGGAAAAATATCCTCTGGTAGAGATTAACAACAACAAAAAGTATCAACCAATGAATGTATAAATAAGTGGAACAACAAATCGATGCCTCCAGGAAATTACCCCAGGGGGCTAGAATTACAGAGCCCCAAGTGCTGATACTGTCATATTGGCTACTCACTGGGTCAAGCATGAAGAGGTCCACTCCTTGCCCAGTGGAAAGAGCCACCAGGGTCGCACTGCCGTACAGGGCATAGCCCGCGGCCACGATATTGCGGCCTGGCTGCAGGGCATCCTTTTCAGAAGGCTCGTCCTCTGAGCTCTGGGGGAGAGAGGAGAGAAACAGGGCGCGTTACTGTCTCTGGAGAGAACCCTTTGCCAAGGCGTGGGCTTAACTCTCCTGAAGAATCACTTTTAAGGGTCAAATAAAAACGTGTATTGATATGGGACTCTGTATCTCTCACGTGCTTTTGCGTTATGTTTCTGCGGAACAATGGAGAGACTCTCGGGCCCTCATTTGAAAGAGAAAGGATGGCGATCAGAAAGGCACTCACATAACCTCTTGAAACCAGTGAGCGATGAAGCTGGGACTGGACCACAGCACGTAGCTAGAACAGCATCACTCTCAACAGCTAACGAAACACAGGGCAGCATGCCCTCTGCTAGTGACACCCTAGCAACTTTATTCTAAAACCAAACCCCAGCCTTCTTCAAGGCTTTCTTTAAAATGTTGCTTTCCCTTTAATATTCTTCTAGGGCTACATTTAATTTAATTAAAAATGGCACACTCCTTTTAATATTTTCCTTACTTTTACAATCTTGCATTCTTTCTAACACATTTTTAAAAACGAATTACATTTTCATCTGACTTGTGTGTAGGTGCTCAGTGATCTGGCTTTATTTCCAGGTTCCCAGGCCACACACGGATTCTGAGAAGCAGGCCCCAGAACAGGGGTTCTCAGAGTGGACGTGGCATCAGCATCAGCATCAGCTGAGATGTCTTGGATGTGCGTATCCCTGGGCCATGCCCCCTGCCTCCAGAGTCAGAAATGCTGGGCCCTCAGCATCAGCCCCTCAGGCAATTCTGACACACCCAGAAGTCTCAGAACCACTGCTCTAGGGCCTGGCCTTTAAGAACCTTCAGAGAAGTAGAAGGCAAAGGTGGTATTAGGTTTTTTTTAATTAAAGTCTTTAGTTGTCCCCACTGAAGCTTTTGGAACACCTCTGCTCATCCATCAGAAAGATCACATTTTCTTCCTGTGAAACCAGAGTTGTCCCAGACCCCAAGATTCTCCCTCCTCCAAGCCGATCCTGTGGCCTCTGCTGAGCGGCGCACTCTCTCTTTGGTCCTCGGAAACTTGCACTGTGGCTTGAAGGAAATCACTCCTCCCCGACAGGTTCCACTGGCCTTTAATTACTCATAGAATCCCTGACCTTAAAAAAATAACGAGAAATACTTTCTAGATCACAAGATTTCCCTCCAGCTATTGCCCTATCTCTGTCCTCACCTGTGTCCTGGCGTCTGTACCCTTCATCTGGAGCCTGTCTACACTATCTTCCTCCTGTCCCCACCGCAGCCTGACCCTATTCACTAAACCTGGTGCATATTTTCCAGGCTTCCTCTTTCCGGACCTCTAGGCAGTGTTGGATCCGTTGGCTGCTGCCTCCCTGGGATGTGTCTCTCCAGCCCTCTTGTCTGGCTTTCATTCTAACTCTCTAGATGTGTCTTCTCATTTGCTTTTTCCAACTCCTCTTCTTAAACGTTGGTGCTCCTCCTGGCTCCTCCCCAGCCCTGAGTGTCTATCCAGTGCAAAATGGACCCTCTTCATTGCGACCCTGTCCAAAGTGGGGACCCTCAGCTGCTATATTTGTGTTATGAGTCCCAAACCCTCCCCACAAGTTTAATGGGGTCTAGGATGGATTCCTGACCCAAACTGGCTCAATCAGAGTCTCTGTTCCAGAAATCTGTATTTGGGGGTAGAACATTCTGGTTCACCTGAGAGCACTGGGGTAACCATCTTTCCTTTGTCATTGGCCAAAGAATCAGAAAAAAAAACACAGGCCCACAGTGAGAGGAAGGGATGCAGTGGCCATGGGGAGATAAGGTGAGAGACTTTGAGGAAAAAAAGCTCTCCTAGCTTGACCCTTCTCTGGCCCAGGCCCTGTCTGAGGCCATATTTCTGTCTTGGGGCTTCCTGATTCATCCCTGCCATTTATACCAGAGTCCTGACTAATAAGCTCTCTTCTCAGTCTACACACTCCTCAGCAATCTCACCACCACCAGAGTTCCGAGCCCTACGCAGGTGTCAGTGCCTCCCAGACCTCCATGTTCATCTTTCCTGGCGGCCCAACCTTTAGAGCCACCTGCCTACAAGACATCCTTACTCAGGTATCCCATAGATGCCTCAAGCTCAACAAGGAATTCATCTGCCCTGTCTCACCCCCACAAACTTCCACTCTTCTCCCATTGCCCCTCATCTGAGCAAATAGCACCTTCATCTGACCAGTAGAAACCTGGGAATCACCTTCCCCTTCCTTTCACTAAGTCCAGTCAGTTCTATAACCCACTCTTCTCAGGTCTCTGCCCACCTCACCTCTACCCTTTGGTCTGAGGACCACCTGCCTGGTTCCACCACTCTGTCCTTGCCCTGCTCAGATCTATCACTTCTCTATTTAAAACACTTCATTGATTTCCCACAGCCTTGATGCCCAACATTCTTAAAATATAAAAAGAACTCACATAACTCAATAGCAAAAACATAAAAAATATGATTTTAAAATGGGCAGAGGGATTGAATAGACATTTCCAAAGAAGACATACAAAGGGCTAACAGGGGCATGAAAAGATGTTTACAAGTACCAATTATCAGGGAAATAGAAATCAAAACCACGATGAAATATCACCTCACATCCGTTAGAATGGATAGTATCAAAAAGATGAGATAACAAGCGTTGGCGAGGGTGTGGAGAAAAGGAAATCCTTGTGCACTGTTGATGGTAATGTAAGTTGGTGCAGTCACTGTGGAAACAGTACGGACGGTCTTTGAAAAATTCCATTTCTGGGTATATGTCTAAAGGAAATGAAATCACTATCTTGAAGACATACCTGCACCCCATGTTCACTGCAGCATTATTTACAAAAGCCTAGATATGGGACCAACCAAAGTGTCCATCAATGGATGAATTGATAAAGAAAATGTGATGTGTATATATAATGGAATGTTATTCAGCCATAACAAAGAAGAAAATCCTGCTAGTTGCAGCAACATGGATGGACCTTGAGGGCATTGTGCTGAGTGAAAAAAGTCAGAAAGAGAAAGACAAATACTATGTGAGCTCACTTATATGTGGACTCTAAAAAAAACAAACTTGTAGAAACAGAGAACAGATTGGTGGTTGCCAGGGACAAGGGGCGGGGGATGGGGGGAAATGGGTGAAGGCAGTCAAAAGGCACTTCCAGTAATAAGATAAATAAGTTCTGGGGCTGTCGTAGGCAGCATGGTAACTATAGTTCATAATGCTGCACTGTGTGTTGGGAAGTTGCTGAGAGAGTAAATCATAAAAATTCTCATCGCAAGAAAATAATTTGTAACTATGTGAGGTGATAGGTGTTAAATAAGTTTATTGTGTTGATAATTTCACAATATATAGATATACCAAGTCATTATGTTATACAACTAAAGTGAATACAACATTACGTGTCAATTATATTTCACTAAAACTGGAGGAGGGAGTTATTAAGAGCTGTGATGGTGAAGTTAGGGTGCCTGTGTGAATCCCTGTCCTGACTGATGATGTTAATTGAGTTACTTACCTTCTCTGTGCTTCAGTTTGTTCACCAGAAAGAAAAAAAAANAGCTGTGATGGTGAAGTTAGGGTGCCTGTGTGAATCCCTGTCCTGACTGATGATGTTAATTGAGTTACTTACCTTCTCTGTGCTTCAGTTTGTTCACCAGAAAGAAAAAAAAACCAGCGACTGTGGAATGTGCACCGGCCTCTGGGGCCGGCCCGGGAGCGCTGACTCGTGCTCAGCAGCCAGGAGCCAGAGCCGGGGGAAAACGCCGGTATCAGTCGCCTCAGAGATCCACCTGCAGGTCTTTTCTCAGAATCTCATGAAAATCGCACCAGCTATACCTCAAGGGGAAATGAAGCTCCTTTAGTCACCCGGAGGCTCATTTTTGCTTAGTCTTGAAGCATCTTCGTCTTAACTTTCTCAGATGCCAGAGAAGTGTCCTGTGTCCTCTCCTCCTCCCTCCACAAAAGCCTCCCTGTCTCTTCAATAAAAAGGAGGCACAGCCGTCAGCGAGCGGAGGGCTNCATCAATCGCCTCAGAGATCCACCTGCAGGTCTTTTTTCAGAATCTCATGAAAATCGCACCAGCTATACCTCAAGGGGAAATGAAGCTCCTTTAGTCACCCGGNCAGGGCCGGCCTGGGAGCGCTGACTCGTGCTCAGCAGCCAGGAGCCAGAGCCGGGGGAAAACGCCGGCATCAATCGCCTCAGAGATCCACCTGCAGGTCTTTTTTCAGAATCTCATGAAAATCGCACCAGCTATACCTCAAGGGGAAATGAAGCTCCTTTAGTCACCCGGAGGCTCATTTTTGCTTAGTCTTGAAGCATCTTCGTCTTAACTTTCTCAGATGCCAGAGAAGTGTCCTGTGTCCTCTCCTCCTCCCTCCACAAAAGCTTCCCTGTCTCTTCAATAAAAAGGAGGCACAGCCGTCAGCGAGCGGAGGGCTCCTCCAGCCCACGCGGGCTTCGCGTCCCTTCTGTTCTCTGAGGCAGGAGGAGTGGACCCCTTGTCTGCACCTTGCTTTTCTCCTCAGAAAGGAAGTTCAGGCTCATTCGCATTTTCTGCTAAGATTAGCTTTCTGCTAAGCTTTTGCCCTGAAAATCAAATTTTTGCCCCTTTTTTGGACAACCTCCAGCCAAGCATTATCCAGGTGTTCAGACAGCACCATCGAGGGCAGGAGCACTCCCACTCCTCCGCCACTTGCTTGGTCACAGGCAGTGTGAGGGAAAGAGTGTGTCCTGTGGAGCCAGGGAGATGGGCCTTGAAAACCAGCCTGAGGACCAGTTACCCATCTGGCAGCCTGAGGCCTTCAAGCGCCGCTGGCCTCCTTCCGCCCAAAAGCCACAGGGCAAAGGCCCAGCCATCCTGACTGGGGCAGGGACTGATTCTCAGGTTGAGGAAGAGTGTGGCTTATGTGGTTTGTCATGAAGTGTCATGAAGTCACAAACCAACCCATATGATCCTGACTATTGTTAAGTACGTGGGGTAGATGGAATGGCCCCAGAGATGCCCTAATCCCCAGAATCTGGGGCTATTTTGTGTGACATGGCAAAAGGGACTTTGCAGATGTAATTAGAGTTACTTAATTTAATAGGCAGCTTATCCTGGACTATCCGGTGAGCCCATCAGACAAACCATTGAAAGCAGAGAACTTTCTGTGGCTGGAGGCAGGGCAATGAGGCGAAGTAAGGGTGTCAGAGAGGCCAGAAGTGTGGGAAAGACTTGCCCTGCCTTTGCTGGCTTTAAGGACATAGGAGTCACAAGCCAGGGATGCAGGAAGCCCCCAGAAACAGACTGATTCCAGCATTGCCAGCCAAGAATCAAGGGCCTCCTTGATTCTGAATTCTGCCAACCACCTAAATGAGCCGGGAGGCTAATGCTACTCGCACAGCCCAGCCTCTCCATAGGAGGCCAGACTGGCTGACACCAGATTTGGCCTTGGGAGGCCCCGAGCAGAGAACCAGCCACGCCAGCCAGACTGACCTGCAGGACTAGGAGGTCATCATTTCAAGCTCTAACGGCTGGGGAATTGTGGCAACGATAGAAAAGTACTGCAGTCAGATTTGAGATACGAAAAGAGGAAACAGATGCCTCCCGGGACCCAACCCCACATCTGACATTTGTGTCTCATCCAGGTTTTCAAAACAAGCCCCGTCTGTTCTCTGAGCCTGCCGCCCACGAAGGCAGCGGAGGAGAGAAGGGCATGATCTCCCCCGTCCCCCCAGGAAGGGGCCGGAGGCAGAGCGGGCTTCGCCATTTGCCGACAGGGCCTCTCTGCCTGGTGGGACGACAGAGATTAGAATTCCAGACTGGCGGCTCCCAGGCCAGGAACCTTCCGGAAACCACCAGAGGAAAGTGGCATTAGAGATCAGCCTGTCTACTCACCTTTCTGTAGATGGCAAAAATGGTTCCGATGGAGGCCAGACAGTCGATGTTGGACGATCCATCCAGTGGGTCAAAGCAGACCACGTATTTCCCCTAATGCACAGAGGAAGGGCCACTTCTGATGAGCACAGTCTAGGTAACACCACACCACAAAGCGACTGAGAGCAGAGGGATGTTCTTATCAAAAGCTGCAATGACTTGAGGAGTGTGGAGTGCGCCGCTCAGGGCCCACCTGCCCACAACACGTGAGTCGGGGCCACGCAGGGCGATGAGGGTCCCTCCACCTCCAAAAAGCTTTCCCCTCCCCTCTGCCTCCTCTGGCTCCGCCCTCCCCTCCCACCTGGGCCCACGGGGACTGGGAGCTGCTGAAGCTGTGAGAGGAACCAAGGTCCGAGATGGGCATATTGCAGGGAAGGGGGGGGAGCTGAAGATAAACTTGGACCCACTCCACCCACATCCTCAGTAGGGTCAGTTATGGATTTATTGATAATGCTTTCTGACTCTTCTTTCCCCAGGCAGGCTTTTTTCATTTTAGAGCATTTGCCAAAGAAAATATTTTTTGAAAAATCAAAAAATCTCAGAGCCATGTGCCAGGGCCTCTGGGTCTGCCTTGTTAAGATAGCTGGCGTGCACAGGTACTCAGGAGAATGGAAGCGCTCTCCTGCATTTCACGGCGCCCAGCCCACCGGCCGGAGGTGAAGACCAGAAGGCCGGCGACAGCATGTGCTTCACACCCACCCCTGCTGCTGCCACAGGCCGCCCCAGCCAGTATGACAGCCTCGGTGATGGGCGCTGGAGTCTCCTGGCCACTTAAACACGGTAATAACACTTGAGCCCTGGCCGGGTAGCTCCATCGGTGAAGCATCGTCCCGATACACCGAGGTTGTGGGTTGGATCCCCAGTCAGGGCCATACAAGAACCAATTAATGCACAAATAAGTGGAACAACAAACTGATGTTTCTCGCTCTCTCTTTCCCTCTCTCTCTCAATCAATAAATAAAAATTAAAAAAAAATAATAATACACACTAAAAAAAAAACTTGAAGTAAAGTGAGAGTCACGAAAATTATTTTTCTCTGTCTTTCCATCGGGTAATGCCCTAGCTTGAGTTGAGCTTTATTTTTTTTTAACCCTAGTTCAACAGGGGTGGGCAGGGATGGTGGGAAAGGGCACAAAAAATGGGGTAATTCTTAACTTAGAAATTTCCCATTCTCCCTGTGGATAATCCAACTTAGCCCATTCATTCATTCATGCATTCAACAGATGTTTGTTGGGCACCCAACACCTGTTGGAAAGTGTCTAAGGAACGTATATGGGAACATATACGTTCTTGAAAGTATTCAAGAACCCGCATGAAGACCTGTGTAGCTCAGGCCAGCCAGGAAAGAAAGTGGTAGATTAGACTGGAGAAAGAACTGAAGCTCATATCAGTGAAAGTTGAAAATGAAAAGAAAAGGTGTGATTTAGCTTAAATTAGGTGACAAGAAGAGTAAAGTGCTTTGCACAGTCCCTGACATACAGTAGGTGCTTAATAAATTTGGTTTTACCTTTTCCATCCTACCAATTAATCATAAAGAAATGGCACTTTGTCCCTAATCAATTGAGGGCCAATAGTCCCAACATCTATTCTGTGTTACTGTATCACAGCTGAACATGGTTGGCTTTTTTGGCCACCAGCAACCTCTCTCTTCAGTAAACTGCCCATGAAACCAGAGTGGACATGGCCCCTCCCAGCCATGCCCTGCACTAACAAACTTGACCACTGTATTAACGCAAGACAGCCACCATCCTTATGATTTATTTTCTATGTTAGTCTGACAGTGTGTCAGGAATGAAGCAACCTCGGCTGAAACCATAACCCCCTTGAGAAAGTGGGGGGGGGGAGTAGAAGTGGGGAGGGGAAAAGCGAGAGGCTGTATAGTAAGGCTCTTCCCAGGAACTCTGCTCTTCACTGAATTTGATGATTTTCAATTTACCCCCAAATGCCAGCACTTGTTGCTGACGGGTACGTTAAACACAAATCCATGAACGCCGCTGCAGGGGAGCTCAGAGATGCAATATGTCCCCAGCAGTTAAGGTGTCTGGGAAGTGCTGGACTCTCTGTTTAACCTTCTGTGACTGTCTAACTCTCTGTAGCCTCAGGCTTGGCTGACTACCCAGAAAGCCAGAAGGCGGCCCAAAGATAAACACCAGGCCCCAGGAAGGAGGTTAGTGAATGTAAAGAGTGTGGCTACCCACCTGATGTTATCTGCTAACTTAGAAAAGCATTGTGCTTTCTGGTGGTCTATGTGACTGCCCATCATACGGTTTTACTAGTAACCCCCTATAGAAAGAGACGTTGTCCTAGGAGGGTGTGGATTTACACCCACTAGGAGCAGCTGCTTTGCCTATGTTTGTAAGTTTCTCCTACTAAAGCTCTTAGGAATTTAGTAAGGCTACATGTCAGTTCTTCAGAATCGATCCTGAATGTAGGCTTTGGGGTTTTCCCCCAACACCCGCCCACTGAAGCATCTCCATAAATCACTGGGATTTATTTCCTGAATGACTCACTGCCCTGCTATGGAGTCTTTTTTTCCTAGACAGCATAAGACTTCCAACTAAAGAAGTATGCAACTGTTTCCGGAAAACAAACAAAAATAAAAATCTAAGCAATAGAAGAAAATCCCAGAAACAAGAAATGCGAGGCAACAGTCTTCTCGACTCAGTATCGCCACCTAGTGGACACAAGCAGAACCGCACCCCCACCTTCCACACGCACCCTCTTGTCCTTGGGCGTGATCATCGCCTCTTTATTCTCCTCTGACACCAGCACGCAGGTGCTGTAGGAGGACTGGAGCATGTTGATCACCAGGGAGTTGGACAGCACGTCCAGTTTCTTCACCTCATCCCCAGTCACGTTCACGCTGCCCGCAATCCCATACCTAAGGACAAAAAAAAAAGTTGACTGACATCAGTGAAGGATCCTGAGCTGCAACAAACAAGTCCAGACACTAACACACCACCTGTGTATCTGCCTTTCCCTTCATGACTCCAGAGTCTCCAAATTATAAGCACAGACCAAGTATGACACGTCCCCCAGCAGTGATTCTCGGCCTCCGGGATACTGTCCTGGGCCCCTCCTCCCAGCGTGCTAACCAGAGTCCAGTCCTGCTAAACTCAAGCCTGCCCTGAGCACTAGCTGGTGAAGACTCAGAGTTACAAAGTCAGACAACGCTACAATTAATGACTCCAAAAAAGTAAAGAACCATGACTTTCCAGCCCTGGAATTTCAATATTTGTTATTTATCCTCAAATAGTGGCCTGCTGTGCTGCATTAAAAATTGTCCTGCCATAAGTGGTGTTACTTGAATAAGAAGGAAATTTGGAGACTGACTTAACTAATTTAATATGGTTTTTCACTATCTCTTTTCAAGCAGTAACAGAAAGAGCACTGCTATAAAGTTCTATCTAGAGTCTTTGTGTTTTAGAGTATTAATATGCAAAGGTCTCACCCCTTCCACCCTCAAGGGAGGGATCCTTCAAATGTTTGAGTCAGATCACTTGGCAGTCCAGAGTTCCCAAATCCCCACAGTGGAAGGGGAATTCTTCAGACCCCACCAGCAATACCTGTTCCCACACTGGCATTGTCTCTTGGGCCTCTCACCCTCACTTGGCCAGTCTCAGCCTCCAAGCACACACCTGCCTTATGACCAACCCCTGGGTTTGCTGCCCCACCCCCATGCTCTTTCACCCAAGAGCCACACGGCTACCACTCCACACAAGCCTTTTGCATTCCATCCGCTGCAAAGGTCCTGTGGCCACTGGCACCCAGCAAGCTGCTCCTCTCCTTTTCACCTTCACTCATGGTGCTCCTCGCCCCCTAGGAATACTCCCCCCACACTGTCAGCTTTTCCGTGCTGGTCCTCCTGGCCCGCTCTGGAAGCTTCCCTGGTCCCCGTTCACTTTCCCAGCCCAAGCCAGGCACACCCTTGCCATCCAGTCCACAGCGGCTCACAATCTGTTCATGGGAATCTTTCCAGCTAGATTATCTGCCCATTGAGGCAAGAGGTGTGGCTACTGTATTTATTTCCACAGTATCCAGAGGCATGGGAGATGCTCAATACATGTCCACTGAATGGTGTAAAAGGAGGCAGGGCAGTAATTTCTCTTCCTCTCCCTTTTTAACACTATTTATTTGTTGACAAAATCCTCAGGTGGCCTAACAGGTAGCCAGGGCTGAGAACCTGGGATTTATCAGGGGAAACAAGTAATTTCCCAACCTCTTCCCACTGACAGCCTCTCCCCTCCCCCACAACCCTCCCCCATCACCTCATGTCTGCTGTGATGAGCCCGCTGCCTTGGAAAACAATGCTGTTAGCCTGGCCCGGAAGAGTGTAGCTCCTGATTCAGAATAAAAGCAAGCAAACAACAACAGCAAAGCTGGGTTATTTTGCATTGGAATTTAAAGGCACCTTAAACCCAGCTTCTTGTTTAATGCAGATTCTTGAGGTGGCTGCTACTGGTGAATGAAGAGCTAGGGCTCCCAAGGCCTGTGGTGGGCGAAGCTGAAAAACAGGTTCTCTGTCCTGTGCTTGCAAACGGCATCCCAATACCCCCAAACCACACCTTTACCCACCCTCAACAGGCCCTCTCACCCTCCCTCCAGGTGCTGGGCTCCTGCTGTGTCACCCACACCCACACCCACGCCCACACCCCTCCTTCCAGAAGGAGTGGAGGCTCATTGGCAATGAGGCCCGATTGTCTGACAACTGCTCCGAGTGAGAGCATGGGCGAAGGCGTGTTTTGCACCCGCAAGACAGTTCCTTCCAGCTTTTAAACTAGCACTAAAGCTTTCCTGACCATTTCTAAGTGGTAGGTTCAACTATTTTGACAAGAAAAGCCACGGAGAGGTTTTCAGGGGAGGCAGTCTAGCCTTCCCTTCTTCCTACAGCAAGGAGTGAGAAAATGGCAGGAAAACGAACATTTCTGATCCCTTTTAAGTTGTGTCTGTGCCTAGAAATGTCTTCAAAAAAGAGGAAGCAGAGGATGAGGGACTTGAAGCCCCTAAGTGGGAAGTGGCAGGAACATGTGAAAAGTCCCATTCTCCTGAGCAGAATGCCTCTGGGACAGTGCAACCGGTCAGCTCTCTGAGAAGCAATCCTGGGGCCTCTTAAAATAATCTCAGCATCTTGCTAGAAAGAAGGAATTTCCAGCCAATGGGCTTCTCCTGCTGCCACTTTTTGTGTCTTTTACAGAGAAAAAAGAGGAAGGATGCTGTCTGAATGGGCAGAATGCGGACTTCCTACCAGATGGAGGACAGTTCGGTCCCTGAGAAATGCCGAATCCTGAGGCCTTGTTTCCGCGGGCCGCGCCTGCCACCTGGTGGTCAGTCTGCAGCGGGCGCGTCTCCCGGGTCTGGGCTTTGAACTACGATGACAAAGGCATTGACTGAGCTTTTAGGGCTGGAATCACCACCTCGCGGACTCACTAACCCTTACAACAACCCTGCAAGTTAGGAGCTGTCAGTATCCTTCATTTTGCAAGTGGGGAAACTGAGGTCCTAGCAAGAATAAGATCATTGCCCACGATCACATGGAAGGAAAAGAAAGTCAGATGAGCACCTTAATTATCCAGTTCCTGAGTCCATTTCACCTGGGCGTTCAACGGCCAGGGTCGGTTCTGCGGCCGATGGGCGCAACCCTACCACGGCAGCCGCTGCCTAGCCCAGCGCCCTGCCCAGAGCAGGCGCCCGGCGGGCTTGGGTGAATAACACCGGGATGGGAGAGGAAAGGGCACTAAGCAAAGCGGGCCCACTTACAGGGCGAGGCAAGGTCACTACTTCTGTCCCTCGCAGGCCTCATCGTCTGGCAGGAGCAGGAAGAGGCAAAGGGCTGCACCTCACATTCGTGAAGGCCCTTAAGTGTAGAGCTTGGCCTTCGGCTCCAAATGACAGTGACACACGGAGTGGGAAAAGTTGGCCATAAGGCATCTTAACCGGGGTCCTATTACTGGGTCACAAAAGCTTGTATAACTAATTCTGTAATTATCTTGTGATAATTACAGCTTGTCATATAATGCTATCACATTTTTTGTGTTAAAAGGGCTAAACTGTTAATAATAAAATTTTAATATTGGACTTTGTTATTTCTTCATTTTAGAGTAATAATAATAATGTCCCTTCACCTGCCAGGAGGACCTCCGCTGGAATGACTACAGTGAAAAGGGAAGTCCGGAGAAGATGGCTTGTTTTTCTTACAGACTTAAACTGAACACTGGGCTGTGCTGATGGGCGGCCGTGGCCTGAACTTGGCCCCATTCATTGCTCGGATAAAGCACCAAAGCGAACAAAGGGCAGGACGCTGTGCATTTCGTCCGCCCAGCTTCCTCCCCACCGAGTGGAGAAGATAAGGCGTCCCCGAGGAGAAATTAAAAAGCTGTTTTAAAAACCAAAGACTCCTTTCAGTGGTAAGAAAGGAGATGTAGGCTGGGGCCCTGGGAGGTTATTTTGTAAACGATTCCTAGCTCCTAATGTATTGGCAAAGGTCATGACAAAAGGCTCCCACCTGCAAGGGGCCAAAGAGTCTCCTGGCTGCTGCTTTGTGCCAGTGAGAACGCAAATACGAAAGTCAGGCTAATTCAGTGCTTTAATGTAACAAGCCACTGAGCTGGTTACCATTGCAATACATGGCAACTGGAAAAATTTTATATATATATATATCTTTTTTTTTTTCCCTCTCCATAGCATGTCTCCAAGTATTTTGTTCCTTTTTGAAACTAGTCAAAGTCCCCTTTATCAAAGCACACGTGACAAACTTTGAGGCAACTTCTGTCCAGGGCACACAGGCAAAGCGCTCTGACCAGAGTTCCTGCCAAGGGCCTGCAGCTTGCCCGCACCCCGCCTGGGCCTGGCCCGTGCGCGCAGCTCTGCGCACCCGCACCTGCTCCCGGACTCACAGGTTGGCCAGGCCTGCCTTGCGCACGGCCGAGGAGATGGCTTTGATGGCCGTCAGCATGGAGTTCAGCAGCTGCGTGAGCTCCCCTGTCCCTTTCGCCTGGCGACCCTTCTCCATAACATAGCGGGTGAGGGTCAGCATGTCCGTTTCAAAGGGGCTTCTGTCGGTCATCGTGGCGGGCACTTTTCCAAACCCTTCTTTTCTTTCTGCAGAAATCCTTGTTTATCTCCAAGAGCTGCAGCTCCGTGGTAGCAGAGCTGGCCCAGGCCCTTTAAGAAGTGCCCAGCCCACGTGGTGGAGATAACTGGGAAGCCCTCGGGACATCTGTCCGCAGTGGCTCTCCGAAAGGCTGCCAAGCTGGAAATAGAACCGGGAAGCCCAGGGACACAGGCCTACTTTCTCTTGATGAGCTCCTGTTTTTAAGGATCCTAGGAAGCAACCGTTAATAACAGGTGGGAGATGAGAAATCCAGCCACTAAAAAATGATCCATAAAACTCTCTTATTCAAGGACTGAAAAGGATTCTTCACATCTGTCTCCTGCAGAACCCAACTCCCNCGTTTAGTAACAGGTGGGAGATGAGAAATCCAGCCACTAAAAAATGATCCATAAAACTCTCTTATTCAAGGACTGAAAAGGATTCTTCACATCTGTCTCCTGCAGAACCAAACTCCCCTGTGGTTATAGAAAGCAAATTGGCAGATAGCTTATCTGGGGTGTAGGCGACCTAATCGAGTAATGCAATCTGGGACCTCAGCCAGGGTTCTTTCATGTAAGTTTGAAGGATGCTTTTTATTTCCAAAAAGTGTGTATGACAGGATGGATGTCCATAATAGATATCCAAATCTGGAAGAAATAATTTCTATTCCTAGCATAGTGCTTAGCACCAGGGTTATTTTATCAATTTCTCTAGATTTTCACTTTTATAACAAAAATAATACTTGCTTATTGAAAAGGAAACACTGCAGAAGTATAAAAAGAAAGAGAAAAAGTCCTCACCACCAGCCCACCGCCCAACCCATTCCCTAGATATAACTGCCGTACAGCTGCTGGGAGTCTGTTCTGGTAATAGGGAGCTGCATGGGGGGGTCCAAGCACTTTCTCTGGGGACAGACAGACCTGGCTCTGAGTCCCCGGCTAGTTACCTGCAATTTGTATAAAGCCTCAGTTTCCTCACTTGGAAATTGGGGGAACGATACATCTATCTGCCTTATAGAGCAGTTGTGAGGATTAAAGTGGTAGGATGTGCCCGGCACACAGTGGGTGCTTAATACCTGTCAGCTATTATCACCCTTCCAAATTTTTACATATATATAACTATTATGTATGTATATGTATATATGTATATAATTTCATTTTACAAAATAGAATATGCACATTGCTCTGCAATTTGATTTTTTCCTTTGATAGCTATTTCAATTAGAATGTATTTAGCTACAAGTAATAGGAAACTTAGAGTGATTTAAATATGTGGGGGTTTACTTTTCCCCTGTTTTCTCAAGTTCACTCGGAGGTGGCTGCTGGCATTCATTTAGTCGTTCAAAAGTTCCATAAGGGGCCTCTGTGTCTTCTCTTTGATCTCTGGTGCTGGCTTTTGCCCCCATGCTTGTCATTTCATGGGCACGAAATGGCCACCTCAGCTCTGAACATCTAGCCCACGCTGAAGACCCACACAGGAGAGAAAGAGCCTAGAAAAGAAAAAATTTCCCAGGACACACTCCAGCTCCCACCCCAGTGGACTTCCACATAGGTAGAATGGGCCAGATGCGTGTCACAAAGCGCTCTCTTGCCGCAAGAGCTGAATGAGCATCGAACGTGTTTGCCGCCCCGTCAGTGGGTGCAGAGACTCGCTGCCGTCCAGGGCGGACGTCAGGTTGCTCTGGAAACGTGTGCTCTTCAGAGGCGCTGCAGCAGGCCGCCACCTCTCTGAGCCTGGACTGTGCCAGAGCTGCAGGAAGGTGCAGCTCTCTAGGAGGGACCTCTATGCCAGAGCATCTTCATTTCGACATCACCAGCATCTAAACCACATCTAAACCCTCGTTTTCTTTCCCTAGAGCTTCCAGGAATTGTGAGGACTGTCCAGTGAAACTTTCTTTGATCCTGNAAACCAGCTCTAAACCGTCGTTTTCTTTCCCTAGAGCTTCCAGGAATTGTGAGGACTGTCCAGTGAAACTTTCTTTGATCCTGATGAGTCATGTTGCCATTAACAAATAGCCGAGCTCTGTCTTTCACACGGGAGTTCAGCCCTGATTCTTGGGACATAATCACAGGAGGAGCTGGCTCTCACCAGTAAATGACTGCCAGATGGAGACGGGGGCCTGGCTGACTGGTTTCCAGGTTTCCTTTGAAATCTAACATTGTCATCGGATGAAGGGTTTCTCATGCGATTGGTGCGAAGCAATGTCACGCAGAGTGGATGTCACATCTTCCTTACGGAAATGAACATGTACATTTACACAAAAGCCCATTCACGAATATTTACAGCAGCTCTATTTATAATTGTCAGAAACCGCAAACACACAAATGTTCTTCAAGGGTGCTGGAGAAACTATAGTAGATCTATAAAATGGAATACTATTAAGCAGTGAAGAGGAACAAGCTATTGTTACATGTAGCAATGGGATGAATCTCAAAGGCACTGTGGTGGTGAAAGAAGCCAAGTCTCAAGACACTACATGCTCCATGATTCCATCTGCATAATATACTCAACCAGACATAATTATAGAGATAAAGAACAGGTCCTTGGTTACCAGGGGCTAGGAGTGAGGGGAGGGGACAGAAAATAGGAGTGTTTTGCCTCATGGAACTGATCGGTATCCTGACTATGGTGACGGCAACTGGAATCTTTGTGTTAAAATTCACAGAACTACCCATTTTTAAAAAGTCATTTTACTGTAAAGCAAAATACAAGTGGATCATGGACAGTCTGCAGACTGTTCTGGTCCATGATCAGGTAAGTAGAAAAGTGGAAAGTATTTAAAAATTTCTGTAACACTTTTCAAATGTCATGTTTTTTCTGATCGTATTTATTAAAATGTAACTTAAATTCAACAATAAAATGTAATTTAATTTTAAATGAGATTGCAATCTAACACTAAATAATCGTGGCCCATATTTTATAACTTTTTTAATTTCATTATTTCCAGGATTTTTTTCCCATTTTAACCATTTTTACGTGTGTAGTTCATTGGCACTAAGTACATTCACATTATTTTGGGACCACCATTCATCTCCACAACTTTTTCATCTTCTCAATAAAACCCTGTGCCCAGTAAACAATAATTCCCACTCAGTCCCAGCCCCTCGCAGTCAACATTCTACTTTCTGTCTCTATGAATTTAACTATTCCAGGTACTTTATATAAGTGGAATCATGTAATATTTGTATTTTGTGACTGCCTTATTTCACTTAGCGTAATATCTCCCACGTTCATCCACATTGTAGCATCTGCCTGATTTTCCTTCCCTTTGAGGCTGAGCCACGTTCGCTGAAGTTAGACCACATCTTGTTTGCCGTCCGTTCGTCAGTGGGCACTTAGGCTGTTGTGCATAATGCTGCCCTGAGTGTGGTTGGACAGATATCTCTTTGAGTCCCTGCTTTCGATTCTTTTAGGAGGCGCACCCAGAAGGAGAACTGCTAGCTCATATGGTAATTCTGTAATTAATTTCTTGGGAAACCACTATGCCTCTTTCCGTGTGGCTGTCAGCAGTGCGCAAGGGTCCCAGTGCCTCCACATCCTTGCCAACTCTTGTTATTTTCTGGTTTTGGTAATAGCGTTCTGATGAGCTCAGGGAAATGATAGCCTCTGTGGCTTTGATGGGCATCCCCCTAATAATCAGTGATGCTGAGCATCTTTTCACGTGTTTATTACCTTTCCAGTGATTCTTTTTATTATGCTTTATAAAGTGTTTGTCCACAACAGATTGGCGGTGAAACAAACAAACCCCTGCTTTGAAACAACTACGGGGGGAAGCACCGGTGTCCAGCACACTGCGGATGTGAAGAATGAGGAAAGACTGGACGATGCAGGGGTCAGGAGGGAGCAGTGTGGGTCACCAGGGGAAGGGTCTGCTGTCCCTGCCACCATCGAGCGCAGGCTGACAGGGAGTGTAGCAGTCTACTCCTTGCAGCTACATGGAAATGTGAGAAGCTCGAGTTACCCAATGATCTAAAATTGCCACTGATGACCTTTCAGCAAATGTCAAAGTTCTTTCAGGGCACACAAGGGGGAAACCTCAGAGCAGCTGTGGTCAAAGCCCAGAGGGGGGAGAAGCGCCTCCAGTTCACATTGACTTCAGTGCCACTGACGCACTGGTGACCGCACAGCTGTCTGTGGCCTTGCTCTGCTCAGTGAAAGATGCTCACAGACCCGAGCCTGAGTCTGTAAGGACAAGCAGACCCTCCTGACGACTGAGGCAATCTCACTCCTGGGCCAGGGCCTTCCACCCAAAGACAAGGATCTGGATGTGACTGGAGTATCCACATCTTTGTCAGCAGCTCTGCTCAGAAGTAATCCCAACATATGCTTTTTTTAAAGTTTTCAATCAGAAAATGTTTTATTATAAGAAACAATGTCATCAGGTAAAAAAGCAAAAATATTACACAATTATATCAAAATGTTAAAAGAAATCTGCACGCTGGTCCCCACTGGACTACAGTACTTACTACGTGCTGCGCAGTGAACACACAGTGCCCTTTACCCTGCTTCGTGAAGGGATCTGGCTCCTGCAGACGGCACCCACCTTTTCTCACACACCAGTGGAACCAGCTTGGTGCCTAAGCGTCCACTTTGTCCCATAACAGAAGAGAAAGACGGAAAATAAAGAAGCAATTTCTACTTTCCTACAACATAGTTATACCAAGTCCAGTTTTCAATGTGTAAAAAATATAAAGTGCTACACACGTTCTTCAAACACAAACACAAAGTTAAAGTGGGACTGGAATATGTTAAACCCGAATTTTAATTTTGTAGTTCCCATGGGCCTTCTACTTGTATTGTCATAGTACTCTGCTTTTTGCTTTTTAATTTTTTTAAAGACTGTTTTTTATAGCATTTTAGGTTTACAACTAAATTGAAAGGAGGTATAGAGATTTCCCATTTCGTTGCAGCCACACATGCATATCCTCCCATTATCAACAGCACCCACCAGAGTGCACAGACTTACCAAGGATGCACC